TCTAAAAAATATAACATTCATTCCAGGTGAGATACCTGAGGAGCCTAATTAAAATAAGGAAATCAGTTTTTTAAAAGACACAGGTCTCCTGGGTTTTGGTCAAGCATGTAAGAAGCTCAGAAGTCACTACTCCTTCCCTCAAAAAACATAACAAACTGAACAAACTGAAAATCAAGAATTCTTTTTACCTGTCAGAGAATTGAGGTTATAAGGCAAATTGCCTCTCCCACCTTCCCCCCAAATTAGAGAGAGAGTCAGGCAGATACAGAGAATTACCAGAGCAGAAACTCAGGAACAGAAAGCCTAGCTGGAGCTGGCACCAGGGCAGGAAAAGGAAGTCTCATTGATAAGATGCTGGTGGATCAGTGTGGACACACTTGAGAGTTAAAAACTCTTGGTGGTTGGTATTCAGTCTAAGAGGATTTTCCCATACTCTCATAAGTTTTACCTCCAGGAGTCCTAGCAGGTTCTCACAGTGCAGATAGGAGATAAATAAACTTAGGCGAGAGAATAGCCATTTGAAATACTCTAGAGCATTCTGTTCTTAAAAAGGCCTGACTTCAAGGGAAGTAATTTTGCCAGAGCCTAATTAATCTGGGAGAAGTCCCTTGAAGCCTCCTTGCTGAATCTAATGGGTGAGAAGGCTGAGAAGACATGGAAAGGTCACAGCCCAGAAGCGAGGTATGGGCTCACTGAGAGACTGAGACCTACTCATATTACTGTTGAAAGCTATATCTTCCCCATATGATGGGAACAATCCTTTCTTACCCACACCAATAATAATAGGGGAGATAATGGAGAGAACTTCACATCTCAGACCTATTTAAGAAGTGTCTAATAAACCCACCAATTACAAAGGAGATAAAAATAAGGATATAAGAAGAAATTTTAGCCTGAAATCTACAGCCAGAAAAAGCAGTGAACATGGCCTCACTCTTAGCCATATAAAAACAAAGTATCATACTAAGGCCTATTTATTTCAGTTACTTTTATCCAGCACATGATGTCTGCCTATAAATATTACATTATAAGGCATATTAAAAGGAAAATACAACAATGTAATTTGAAGAGACAGAGAGAGCACCCAAATCTGACTCTTATGGAAGAACTTTTGTAATTAGCAGAATAGGATTTGAAATAACTATGATTAATCTGCTAATGACTTCAATAGAACCACTTCAACAAAGATGATCAACATCAAAACATATCCTATAATAAAAGCCTAATATGCTAAGGGTCCAGTCCAGTCGACTGGTTGTCCATTCAACCAATCTAAGCATAATATGATAATGATATGCTAAGGCTGCTCATCTGCTCGCTATGACATGCACTGAGCACCAGGGGGCAGACACGCTGACCAGTAGATTAGCTTGTTGTTGAAGTCTGGCCCATTAGGATTTATAGCCCGATCCCACAGGCCAGGCCAAGGAACCCCACTGGTGCACACATTTGTGTACGGGGCCTCTAGTGTTCTATATTTTGTGCTTTTAGAAATACTACAATTACCCCTGCTCTTCTCAAGCTCCAATATATCAGAATAGAGAGTAATATGCAAATATTATATTAGAATATGATAACTTGATTATGATGTTTAATCTCTTCCCATGTACTCTGCTGCTACACTGCCATGACTCACCTTATCAGGGAATTATCAAATTTTCCCTAAATCCACTGTTTTAACCTTCACCTAAACTCTATATGCACTCTTAATCCTGAAGTAGATCAATTCTCCAATTCTTCAAACTGCTTTGTTTCTTAAGCCTTTTTCAAATGCAATCTTTCTCTGAATGACATTATTTTTTTTTTAAATGTAAATTTGACATTTTATCACAATAACGATTCTTATTATTTTACATCCTATTTATTCACAGCATTAGTTAGGGGAGGAAGAAAAATCTAAAAAGCATTTTTTCACTGATATTATACATTTGCCATACCAGTTTTCAAAATAGTTTGTCATTCTATTCCTTCACTTCAAAATTCATGGTTCTAACTTCATATTAATATTTCCAGCAGTCAAAGACATTGAACAATTTCTTGATTTTTTTGTATTTCACAACAAAATATTTGGCTTCTTATTACAATTAATAATTTGTTTGCTATTTTTAAGGAAATAGCTAATTTAAAATATTGTATACTTCTATAACACTGATATGCATACCATTTAAATGTTAATTTTTTTAATTAAATTTTCTACACCTTTTTTTACTCATTTTAGAACATAACCAATGCATTAACAAAAGTAGAATCCCCTTAACTCTTTGTAGCATTTTACCCAAACGCTTTCTCTTTTGATAGTAAGCATTTATGTTTTATTTTAGCTTTTAAGTACTTGAGATCTAAAGAATATCAATTTAAAATTAATGTATTATATAGTTAATCTTTAATAATAAAAGCATAATATGCTAATTAGTGTGAACAACCTTCTGGATGAAGACAGGACTGTGAGGGAAGCCTGGGTCCCGGATGCCAGAGGGAAGCCGGTGCTGATAAACCGAAAAAGGCCTACTCTTGCACAGATTTTGTGCATCTGGCATCTAGTTAATACATAAAATTAATTAAATGATTTTTTCTAAAACATAGATATATTACACCCTTAACACTTTTCTCTATTTAGTAGACTTGTGGTTTTACAAAATTATGTTTTCAGGATTTTTACTTTATTTTTTGTTTGTTTGTTAATCCTCAACTGAGGATATTTTTTGATGGATTTTTAGGAAGAGTGGAAGAGTGAGGGGAAGACAGAGAGAAACACTGATGTGAAAGAAACACATCGATGAGCCCTGACTAGGGCCCGGGGAGGGGAGGAGCTTGCAACCCAAGTATATGCACTTTGCCAAAATGGAACCCAGGACTCTGCTCCACAGGCCAATGCTCTATCCACTGAGCCAAACTGGCTAAGGCTGGATTTTTACATTTTTAACTTATACTAATGGATTTATCCTTCAGATTTGATATTATAATTAAAGGGATAATTCAAGTGATAATTGTCATATATTGTAATATAAAAGAACATATCCTGAAGAATTAACTATTTTAAGGATACTTGGCATTCTTTGTATTTAACAAAAACAATTTCTAAAGAAAAAAAAAATTCTATATATCTGGCTTCATCAATAGGAGACTATAGTTAAATAAAGGGTATATTCCAGCTTGTTTCTTTCTTCTGGCACTTTAAAGAAGCCATTATTGTGTAAACTGAGGTGTCATAAAACTTATTTCTTAGCACCAAATACATCCCAGACTCAGGTGTCAAAGTTCCTGAAATTTGTCCTCAAAGACCATCTCTTTAAGATCATTAGGAGAAAAACCTTTCCCCAGAGGAAAGCCAGGACCAAGGGCCCAAAGAGAAATAAAATGATAAAGATGATAGTTCTGTTTTATCAGAGATGAGCCTTGGGAATACCCTTCAAAGTAAAAGAGCTTATGACTTAAACCCAAGTTTTCTCACATTATTTTGTTTAAATGACCTTTCCTTTCTGATCTTACGGCTCTGAGAAAAGTCTAGCTCCATTCATACATGTGCATCTTTATTAGGCACTGGCCAGACCTCACCTTCCCTAGAAGTATGATTCCTTAATCTTGCACTGAGTCACCTGACTGTATACACTACCTAATTATTTAGCTTTAATCTTGGTTAAGGCTGGTCTATCCATTAATGATATTTATAGATATACATTTAAAATTCCTGACAGCACAGTCTTGCCAATTGATATTTTCTTACTATATTCATGTGCTATGGTCAAAAGAATTGTGGTTCAATAGAGACATTTCTACCAAAGTAAGTCTATTCCAATGTTAATGGAATTCATACCAGTCCAAATTTGCCAAGGAAGTGAATTCATTCTCCTTGGTCACATAGTACTCTGATACTAGAATCAGCACTATGTCTTTGGGCAAAATAGAGGTTCTGCAAAGACCCTGACAATAATAAGTAATCTATGGCCTCCTCCTTCCAATTGCATTAAAACATGAACGGATAATACAATACATGAAGTCATGTATACCTTAGTTTGAATCAATTTATGGGAACGCTTTTCTTTTGAAGGGCAGAGGGGACATGTGATGTATGGAGGAAGGGAAAGGGGAATGCTGAGAAAAGTGTGGTATGTTCAGACCGAGAAGGAGAAGGGCACTAAGTTAACTTGTCCAACCTTATTTTTCACCACACACTCTTCTATTAACTTACAGTATTTCAAAGGCAATGTATAAGTTTCACAACAAAAAAAAACCAATAATAATCTTTACCACAAATCCGGTAAACATGTTGAGTCAAAGCCAGGTTCACTTTCTACACATATGTCATGAACATGTGATTTGAGAATTCATTCATCAAATCCCTTCTCACAGGGAGGTCCTGGCCATCCTGTCAGAAAATCACAAAGGGGAAATTAATTTTCATCACACACACACACACACACACACACACACACACACTCGTACTATTTGTTATAATTGTGCTATGTCATTTATATAAATTGTCATGGTTTATCTTCATAATCAGTCTATCTGGTAGCTATTATTACTATCTCTAATTGGTAGATGAGAAAATTAAACAAAAAAAAAGTAAATAATTTGACCTGAAATAACACCGTTCTGCAGAAATGAAAGTAAGTATATGTGAAATGAATTTTGGCTTGTAACTATGGTGCCCTTCTATATTACCCGTTCAAATGTCTTTACATATTTTACCTTGGGATAAATACATAGAAAGCAATGGAATAAACACACATCATACTTTTTAAAAATATGGTTCTCAAATTCAAAGGAAAATTATCACTCTAGTTTCTAGATATAAAATATTTTCATATTATACTTGTAGTGTTTCACGTTAGTATTTCTTAAGCTGTAGAAATAAATATTATGTGTAGGTGTAGGTGACCATTGGCTGTCACCTAAATTCTCCTGAAACATCATGACCTAATTTCCATATGAAGACACTGAGTGCATATCCTTTGTTTGACTCTTGCCAGCGTTTCTTCATCAATCTAGCAAACAACATTGCTAAGCTAGCCACAAGATAATATCTGAGACATGGTTTGCTATGAATACATTAATATTTTTAAAGTACCGATTACTTCCTGAGAAGCAACTATTTATAATGAATCTTAATATGTTTAAAAACATAGTAACCTGAATATACCTAAATATACCATGCTACAGAGGGGAGGGACACTAGAGACTATTAGAGGCAGCTCTCACTACTCACTGACTACTTATGCGAACTATAATTGCAACTTTTAAATATGTATTATGTAATACCATTTAATTTGAACTCTGGTTATCTGAAAACTGTATTTTTATTGTTCCTACTTAGCAACATATTTTCATTGTTCTTCCTTGATAAATTGAAAGAAAACAATTACATCGGTATTCTGAGGTACTTAGAATGCATTATGTATAAGAAGAACACAGAACAAGTTTAAAAGACTTGATATAATCCAGATCAAACTTAGAAGCATCTGCAAAAAGACTAAATTTCCCAAATCCTTGTCTAGGACTCTCTCTACTTTGCAATGCTCTTTCATATGCTGAGCTGATTCTAGAACTATCTCTTCTATGGAGGCTATAAAAGGTATTACAGAAGAAACAGGACTTATAAAGAGTCATGATGACAGGTTGTTAACATGGTTGGATGTCATAAACATATTATTGAATATAAAAGTATATTCCATAAAAATACATTCTGATAAGGGTTCTTACAAAAGTCAAATACAGCCAGTCTAGCCAGTGTGGCTCAGTGATTGAGCCTTGCCCAATGAATGAAGAGGTCAAGGGTTTGATTCCTGGTCAAGGCACATGTCTGAACTGCAGGCTCTATCCCTAGTGGGAGGCAGCTAACTGATGTTTCTTTCTCTACCCTTCTCCCTTTCTCTCTAAAATGTCAAATACATGAAAATTTAATGATATCACTTAGAGATGCATATGTATATAATAAAACTATAAAGGATAGTAAAAGAATGTTGAATATAAATTTCAGAATAGTTAGTGCAGGTGGGGATAGGGGAGTAATAATGTGCTCAGGGAGAGATGAGAGTAACCTATAATTATTGCTAATATTTTATTCCTTGAGGAAAATGGTAAGTACACAAAGGCTCATTATAATATTTATATCTATCTACCGACCTACCTACCTACCTACCTATCTATAAAAAGGAGGTAATATGCAATTAGTCAGGGTGCTGTAATGTGTCACGACCAGACCATTAACTCTTTATTTGCTCCTAGCGTGCTGTGGGGCCCTGCTCAGGAGATGAGGCTGAAGGCTTGAGGAGGTGGGACCAGCCTAAGGTGACTCATGGGTGGGCGGAGTCACAGGAGAAGGCAAAAGGGAGAAGGTGAAAAGTCTAGTGCCATGCTGCTGCCATGGAGCAGGCAGAAGGGAGAAGGTAGCTGTTAGACAGGGTGACCAGGCCAGGAGGGGAGAGCAGATAGCAGGTATGGTGATCTGATCAAGATAGGAGAGCAGATTGGCAATTAGGGGGATCAGGCCAAGAGGGGAGAGCAGTTAGGGGGATCAGGCCAGGAGGGGAAAGCAGTTAGGCAGTTAATGGGATCAGGCTAGCAGGAGAGAGCAATTAGGGCCTTCAGGCCAACTGGGGAGCAGGTAGGGGCATCAGGCAGGCAGGCAAGTGAGTGGTTAGGAGACAGTAGTTTTGGATTACAAGAGCGATTCTGAATTGGGAGAGGTTACAGGCGGGGCTGAGGGACCCTTCCCCTTGCACAAATTTTGTGCCCCGGGCCTATAGTTTTATATAATAAATTTACATTAATTGTATATTCTCTTGATTAAATTAAAAAAAATCAAAGAAAAATAAGTATCACTTGATCCCGCTTATTTGTGGAATTGAACAGAATGAATTGACCAACAAAATAATTCCTGAAGCATGGAGGCATGGAACAGACTGACATACTTTGATGTGGGGTTGGGGAGATAAGAGATAAACCAAAGAACTTATATACTATATGCATAGCCCATGGACACAGAAAATAGGTGAAGACCTGAGTGTGGTGGTTGGATAGGGACTGGGTGGAGGGGGATTAAGAGGGGGGGAAATGGGAGACATCTGTAATACTATAAATCTTTATTGAAAATACATTAGTATACACTATTAAAAATTATTAACTTTTCATGGGTCTTGATTTCAAAGAAAAATCATTCTGCATCTTTTATAAATTACAAAAGCCCTACCTCTGACAATAATTGTGAGCAGTCATGACAGATATTATCTGTATTTATCTGCTTTCTTGCCCTGAGGGCAATGCAGCATTTCTGCTTCAAAATGAATAATGTTATTTTAAGGTCAAAATGTGTCTTATCGCCTTTGCAAACACTATTCCACCCCTCCTGAGTATAAAATGTGGGCTCACTGACTGCTCCAGGGACTGAGAACAACTCTGGGTGAAGCAGTCTCATTTCAGTTCTGAGATTATTCCCTTCGCTTTCAATTTTCTCATAATGGGATAAACTGTAGTTTCGCTTACTGAGTGTTAAACATTGTTATATTGTATAACACTATAAATGGAACTATTTTGGCTAAAACAAAAGTAAGTGTGGTTTAGTTTGTAAAATGGTCTGAATGCTTGTTCTGCTACTTCAGCTGAAATGAGTTCAGTAGCCATTGAATTCTCTACACAGGTAAAGAACGAACTCTGTAATTAGGACTGAACTGAATGCTGTGCAGGGTATACCCTGTATAAATATCCCATGCAGAGAGGATCAGTGAGGCCCAAGATCCAACAAGTGCTCTCCTTGTCCAGCATTGCACCTTGAGACAGTAGAATCATCTAATCTGACTGCTTATGAAGAGGGGGATGGCTCTATGCTAATGATGGCCTTTGATTACACAATATTGGCCATCATCGTTACTGGATTGTACTTTTCCGATATGTGCTGAACAATTTGTGACAATATAGTAGAATACACGTCCTTGGATGGGATTTGATGGTCCAAAATTAAATAAGATATAGAGTATGTTCTAGATCCGTGGTCAGCAAACTGCGGCTCAGGAGCCACATGTGGCTCTTTGGCCCCTTGAATGTGGCTCTTCCACAAAATACCATGGCCTGAGTGAGTCTATTTTGAAGTAGCATTAGAAGAAATTTAAGTTGAAAAAAATTGGCTCTCAAAAGAAATTTCAATCGTCATACTGTTGATATTTGGCTCTGTTGACTAATGAGTTTGCCGACCACTGTTTTAGACTGTTTCTATCTAGTTTAAATTTGTTTTGTTTTGTATATCTGGTGAGGAAGCTGACATTTAATGTTTTGTGTTCTGTTCAGAACATTGCAAGAATCATTGAGCTCTGTTGCAATTAAAAATAAGAGAGATGTGCGAGAAAAATTAAATTGCAGCTCTTGAGGTAGAATGGAGGAGCCACCCCGGATTAGGGCTATAGAGGAAGAGCTGACATTACATGAAGACAAGAGAATTCTTGGCAACATGTTGTGAACTTAAGGAAGATTTACACAACTAATAAAAATAGAAAACAACTGTAATTTATAATACTTAACTATTTAAAGACAGAAGCAAATATCCAGTGAAAGTAGGTTTCCATTCAGAACTATGTAAGAAAAGGATAGTGGCAGGATTTAGACCAGAGCCTAGAAAAACATTATCAACATTAAGACTGGTTTTATCTTGAATAAGAAAAAGAGTGAATTTGTATAAACCAAGTGAATCAGCCTTTGTGACTTTCTATGACCTTTGGGAGATAAGCAAATGCTATAGATTGTTCAGGAAAAAGGTAATTTCCCCATTTTTGCTTATGGAAACCATTTAGGAAATAATCAGACAGATCTGTGTAGGAAACCTTTCTGAAAGAATCTCACAGTGGTTATGTTAACAAAAGGGAGAGGTCTTCTCCTCTGGCTGCTAGATATAAAAAAAAAAATCAAAAAAAAAAAAAAAAAAAAATCTGAGATTCCTGTAGCAGAATGAGTGATTTTCATTTGTGTGACGTTAAAACCTGAGTTTCCCAGTTCCCATTTCTTTATGTCCCACCATGGAAGAAATGTAGGGGTCTTCAGTAGATCTAAAATTAGAGCCAGTGTCCAGAATTTGCTTTCCTTGTTGGAGCCTGGTCCAATCCAGAATCAAGCTAGCTTAAATGTTTCCCCATTGCATCCCATTAGTCCATTGACTTGCGGAGTACACAGGTCCACATGGCTATGAAGGAAACATGGGTGAATGCAAGAAAGTCATGAATGAGCCATGAGCACAAGAGAACCAAGAACAAACTTCTTTGTTCAGGAGATTATGTATTCCCCAATTTGTTCATGTTTGCAGCGGCCATGCCCATTCTAGCCAATGATTTCTGTTCCCAGGTGTGACTGACAAGCAAGTATAATCCCTAGGTCATCCCAACTTCACTGGGCATGCATCTGTCTCTCCTTTGTTCAGTCCCTTCCCTCAGTGTTTTGCAGGAAAAAGGCAGGTCGTTCCCTGAGAAGTGCAAAGTTGCAGCTTCCTGGTAAAGCTGCCCAAATGACATGCCTGCAATGTCTGGTCTTTCCTTTGCTTCTTTCCTATTACGAATAACTAGCTAATCACAATGGCATCAGTTAGTCTTGGTAACATCTGGATGAAGATACAACACACTGACGGATCTTATTTGCAATTTTTTAAATGGCTATCAATTTTGTTTTTATAGTAAGAACATTTTACATGATATCTCTTTTTTTTTTAACAAACTTTTAAATGCACAATATAGTATTTTTAACTATAGGCACAATGGTATACAGCAGGTCTCTAAAACTTACTCATCTAGTATAATTAAGACTTTATGGGAGTAGCTATTCAGTGAAGGCCTTTCTTTGGGGAACATAAAAAATAATGAATGTACATTAAGCCAGAAATCCTGGTTATATATATTAGGGATAAATTGCAAAAGGAGCCATTTAATGTCATTTGTAGTTATTTTTGTTAACCACCTCACCTAGATACTTTCCTATAACCACTTTGGGGGTCACCACCACTTCCATGAGCTGTTCCTGCAAACCCTCCTCTAGATCAAATGTCAAAATTTTGGTATTAGTTTTCAATTATATTCTTTACTTTTTTAATTAAAAATATTACATTGAAATTATAATCTGACTCTTATTGGTTTGTCCATGGAGTATTCAATGGATTCCATGATACCAAAATCACCATTGGGGCATTTATAAAGTTAAATTATGAAGCATACACTGAGTGGCTAAATTAATAATCTGGCCACTCAGTGTATAACAAAGAAAGTCTACAGACAACTTACTAAACAAACAAAAAAAAAATAGCATCTGGTATCCTAAAATTGAAGAGAAAAAGATGAAGTAGTATTCAAAGACTGAATTTACAACTCACACAATCAGTTCTATTCAGAAACCTTTTTCCTTTTAGCTGAGGTGTTACAATTGAGACTTAATTCAACCTACACACATTCACTAAACTCTTATTTGACTTGGAAATATTTACTTGCCATTTTAAAAAGAAATTTTGTTGCAGTCTCTAGTTTGCCATTTACCTGATTTGATGGCATAATTTAATATGATGTAGTTTAATAATTGTTTAAAAAAACACCACACTATAGCATTTTTTTTCATTTTTAAAGCTTCAACATTAAAAAGTTCATCTTTAAATGCCTTGAAGCTAAAGTGTTTATTATTAGGATCTTTGCTAAAGCCAATAATTCTCAAAGTAGAATAGCTAAAAAGTATATGTAAGTCACTTTATACTTTCAGAACCCTTAAGTTTATTTCTATGATCTACTATCTTTCTAGTTATTGACAACTGTACATAAATCCATTAGCTATAGGGTATTATATTAAAATATTAAGTTATCTCTATGAATATCAGACACACCCTTTATTTTATTATTTTTTAAAAATATAATTTATTGATTTTGTACAGAGAGGAAGGGAGAGAGATAGTTAGAAACATCGATTAGAGAGAGTCATCGATCAGCTGCCTCTTGCACACACCCTACTGGGGATATGCCCACAACCAAGGTACGTACCAGAATTGAACCCGGGACCTTTCAGTCCCCAAGCCGACGCTCTATCCATTGAGTCAAACCGGTTTCGGAAGTCACACCCTTTATTGATAACTGATCAGTTTATAATGAGTACAGAACCTCCAATTAGGAATTCACACACCCTGAACATAACTTCTGCTTAATTTTATTTGTATATATTTTAGTAAAAACTTCACACCTTGTGGAATTTTGGCTTATCTTCATGTAGTAGCCAACTGATTTTACATCTCTCTTGTCACTATCCTCTGCTTCCTTCTATGATTTGGATGATATACCAGATAATTAAACTGTAACTGAAATGGTTATGTAAGTGATCTAGGTCATGTAATCCAAATGTGTTTACTAATATTTATATTAATGTGCATGACTATGGACTGACAACATTGACTTTTTTTTACACTCTCTATAAATATTTTAATATTGTAAACTACCAGTTTCCTGGGAAATACAATTGGAACAAGGTTGGTAAGTTAGAGATACCCTAGTGTGCAGGCAGAACCAATGACATAACCAGAATGGCCTTGATTATCTGTCCTAAAGATATTGGTATCATGCATTTAACTCAATTATTACTTAACTAGAAAGGAACAAAGGAAAAGCTGAATATTACAGGCATGCCCAGTGAGGCCTGGGTGATGTAGGGAAGATGATGTAGGGAAGAAGATGACCTGTCAGTCACACCTGGGAGCAGGTCATTGGCCAAAATAGGCGTGGCATGGAATCTGAAATACATGAGCTCCTGAATAAAGCAACCTCTTCCCACCCCCCGCCACTTAAAAAAAAATGATTTCAGAGAGGAAGGGAGAGAGATGGAGAGAGGTAGAGAGATAGAAACATCAATGATGAGAAAGAATCATGGATTGGCTGCCTTCTGCATGCCCCCTACTGGAGGGCAGGGATCAAGCCCTCAAACAAGTCATATGCCCTTGGCCAGAATCAAACCTGGGACCCTTAAGTCCGCAGGTCGACACTCTATCCACTGAGCCAAACCTCTTGCCTCTCTTGTTGTTCCTGCTGCCTGACTCCTAGTTTGCAGGGCTGACTCCTAGTTTGCAGGGCTGTCATGCTCTATACTTGCTCACATAGCCCACAGCCTGTGGACCGCACACACAATGGACTGATGGACTATAACTAGTCTGTTGCTGTAAGGGACTCAACTCCACCCTGGAACAGAAACTCTGGACACTGCTTTGCTTTTAGTTCTGCTAATCCCCTTTTCCAGGATTAGATTAAGAGAAAAGGGACTTTGCAACCTGAGGGATGTAATCCCATGCAAATAAAGCTTTCTAACACATCTCATCTTCCCGTGGGTGCCTCCAGAAATGGTCATTTCAGCAGTGCCTAAGAACCCCACTCTCACTAGCAACGGAGAAGGGCAATCCTTGTGATTTTCCAATAACAATATCACATTGTTACCCGACTCATTGTTCGCTGAATTATTCAATTGATCTCATTATACCTTCTAAATCTTAAAAGAAAAAGAAAAAAGACACAGGCATTTTAAACTAATTTGCTTGATTTATTGCAGAAATTGTGATAGATTAGAATATAAATTATTGTGTTATTTTCAGATATGTAATTTAATTTTATTATAGCCTTAAGTCAATTCCACAAAGTACAATTCTACTTAATATCTAAAATAAGTACTTTTATTTCTATTGCCTAAATTATGTATCCTATAGGCCATTTTTAATTTAACATTTTTACTTTTATCCTGAGTGATTCAATTATCAGTTTAATTTTGCATACAAATTATATGAGGAGAATATTCTCTGGAGACAACATAAATTTAAGTTTTCTGCGATTACTTTACAAATCAGAATACTGTCTAAATAGCTGTTGAAACTATATATGGACGTGTAAAATAATTTAGATAAAAGGGAAGTGATAATAACCACAACTGTCTCTGTGACTGGGAATACATAAATCTCAAAAGGAATTATTTTTATAGATACTATTTTATATGTTTTCAATAAAACTTTGCTTTAAATTTTGATCCTCAGAGTATTTAAATTTTAGAATGCTAAGTTGTTTTAGTTTGGAACGTTTCTTATGCAGAAGCTGAGACAAAGACTTGAATTCAGGTTGCTTATTTGAGAGGTTATACAAACAAGCCCAAATGAAGAAGTGAGGAAAGTGAGACAGGGAAGAAAAAAAATCAATTGGGAATGCGCTATTTAGCTCTTTGCCACTAGGGGTAGCTAGGCTCAGTACCACTAGATTGGTTCTAAAACTCTCATACTTTTTGAAAGCCTAATTCTCTCATTGTCTGTAGGTTGTACTTAGTGATTCATCGCTAATGTGTAGAATATGGTCCAAGTATGACTTCCTTCTCCTTCTTTCTTTGGTTCCCCTAGACTAGGGGTGTCGAACTCAATCAGAGAAGGGGCCAAAATCTAAAATCCAGCCTAAATCGCGGGCCGAATGGTTTACTGAACAGTCATAAACTGTCATTGTGATGGAAACGCAGCGGAGTGCAGTGATGACAGCGCGGTGCGGGCCACATTGCAAGGCCTGGTGGGACGGATTTGGCCCGCGGGCCTTGTGTTTGACACATGTGCCCTAGACAAACCAACTTCTTTGTCATGAAGATAATCAAGTAACAGTATGGAGAGAGCCATGTCAAGGAGAAATAAAGCCCCTGGTCAACAGCCATATCAGAGAATTTGAAACAGGATCTTCTAGCCCAAGCAAGCCTTTATGACTGGAAGCCTGCTGACGCTTGATTGCAACCTAATAAAAGATCCTGAGCCAGAATCACTCAACTTTATAATAGTGCCAAAGCACAGGCATTTAGCAGAAACCTTACTGTATCTCGTGATGCTAGATAGCAGAAGCGAGCCGAAGTTCACAGTCAGACACACTAGCACAAGGATAAACAACTGACAGTCTACAGTGTGCTGTGTGGCTGGAGTTTTTGGATTTTGTGCTTCATTTCCCATCCCATCATGTCTACGTCTACATGATGCCCATCTGTGTTTCCTGCTTCCAGTAAGGAAGAAAAGAGAATGTTAATTATTCAAGATAATTGTCCAACTGTAGGCTAATGTAAGTGTTCTGAGCACATTTAAGTTAGGCTAGCCTACATTATGGTGTCCAGTGGGTTAGGTGTGTTAAATGCATTTTTGCATGGTATTTCTAATGCAATGGATTTACCAGTACATAACCCCATGGTAAGCTGAGGAACATCTGTAAATACTTGTTGTTTTCAGCCATTAGATTTTGGAGGTAACTCTTTACACTGCAATAGATGACCATGCACTCAGTGAGAACGTTTTGAATTCAGTTATGGAATGATTGAGACATGGATCAATTGTTCACTGACTCTCTTGTCCCTGTTAGACACAGATTATCTTCAGGTATTAGCATATCCACCCTTTTGTGCTGATTTACGAGTGGCCTATGTGTACATTGTTATGTTCTTCAGCTTCCAAAATGTTGAAGGCATAAAAGAGAGGCTTGTAAAGTAGGGTATAGTCATTTGATTAGAAACTGACCAGCACCGCTGGGATTGGATGAGTAGCAATAAAAGCCTCTGCTAACCAATCACCACATGTGGAGCCCCAACCTACTTTGTATGTTAAATAAACTTCTCAAAAAATGCAGAAAATAAGTTAATATATTTAAATGACACGGAAGAGAAATGTTTTTCATCTACATTCTGCTTTTAGTAATAACTCAATTAAAAGAAATGAAAGTAGACCTTTATTCTGGGGACTATTTATAAGACATAATAAAGAAATAGAACCAACACAGGCAATTGAAACTTACCTCAATCTAGTATCAATTCTGTCACTATATTCATATCACTATATCTACTATGATCAAAATGATTTTCTCAAGGCAAAATACCTAATTATTATTAATAAAATATGCATTTTTACAATATGCTGCTATTTTCCAGTTAGCAAATTACTATTATATAGTTTATGGTAGCTAAATTTTCTACCTCTGTACTAGGCATTTTGCAAGTTCATTTACATACATTTGTCAATTTTCAAAACATAATCTTTGATAATACCTTTAGGCTACCAGTAATGAGTTTAAATGAAAAATAATTTACTTAATAGATACAATTTTAGGAGAGTTTATTGTAAACAGAGTGTTCCCCATGGCAAGAGTTAGTAAATTCTGACAAACTTGGGTGTAGAAGTTCCTGGTGAAATCATTGTAAAGTTTTGTTTCATTTAGAGGTCCACATTTACAGTGCTGGGCTTTCCTAAATAACACATTCAAAGAGGAGTTAATTGGATTCCGCAGGATACCTCTGATGTTAATGCATACATAACTTCATAACCAACTCACTTGGCTTTTCAACAGCTCTATTTACATAAATGAAGTTGAACTATTGTTTGTGTTTTTTTGTTTTGTTTTGTTTATTTTTGTGCCCTTCACTGATAATCAAACCTGAGACTTTCCAATGAGAAGATCAATGCTCTAACCACTGAGAAAAGCAGCCAGGGCCCATGCTTATTTTTCAAACTTGCAAAGTGTCCTATATTTTGCCAGAGTGGGATTATAATGACATTAAATCTATTTTTTAAATATTTCCCACTATTGGATAACATTCTATTAACTGCAGAAATCCAAGAGCATTTTAATCCATCTTCTAAGTACTTCAAAATACATTTCATTTTTCTCACAAAATCTTCCAATTTTTACTGGAAACTTCCAAAATTTCTTAACCCATTTCTTTTAAAGCATAATTTCTATATATCTGTTACAACTATGCATCACTAAAAGAATAATTTTGGTAAAGTTATTGCTATGAAATATGTCTGATGTTTTGTTGCCTATGGATTTTTCTAAAATTTTATGGTTTCCTATCTCATGTTTAAGTCTTTTATCTATTTGAGCTTGGTATATGATATAATCTGATGGTCTAGTTTTACTTATTTTTTGCAATTTACCTGTCCAATTATCCCAACACCATTTATTGGAGACACTGTCGTGATTTCATTGCATGCTCTTGCCTCCTTTGTCAAATATTAATTGAGCATAATGGCTTGGGTCTACACATCTCTTAGGACAGTGGAAACTAAGGAGAAATTAAAAAAAAATTAATGGGACATAAAATAAAAAGCTTCTGCACAGCAAAGAAACCATCAACAAAAGAATAAGAAAGCCCACTGCGTGGGAGAATATATTTGCCAATATTATATCCGATAAGGTTTAATCCCCAAAATTTATAGGAAACTCATAAAATTTAACAAAAGGAAGATAAACAACCCAATCAAAAACTGGGCAAAGAACCTAAATAGACACTTTTTAAAAGAGGACATACAGAAGGCTGAGAGACATATGAAAACATGCTCAAAGTCACTAATAATCTGATAATGCAAATAAAAATGACAATGAGGCACCACCTCACAACTGTCAGAATGTCTATAATCAATAAATCAACAAAGGACAAGTGCTGGCGAGGATGTGGAGTAAAGGGAACTCTCTTGGACTGCTGGTGGAAATGCAGACTGGTACAACCAAGGTGGAGAACAGTATAGAGTTTCCTCAAAAATTTAAAAATGGAATTTCCATTTAATCCAGTGTTCCCACTTCTAGGAATATATCCCAAGAAATCAGAAACATCAGTCGGAAAGGATACATGCACCCTTATGTTCATAGCAGCACAATTTACAATTGCTAAGATTTGGAAACTGCCTAAGTGCCCATCAGCAGATGAGTGGATTAAAAACCAGTGGTATTTACTGTCCTATATAATAAAAGGCTAATATGAAAATCAACCGAATGGCAGAATGTTTGGTCACCGTGATGCCCATTGACCACCAGGGGCAAATGCTCAACGCTGCCCTCTGGTGGTCAGTGTACTCCCACAGGGGGAGCGCAGCTCAGCCAGAAGCCTGGCTCACGGCTGATAAGCACAGTGGCAGTGGCAGGAGGCTCTCCCGCATCTGAAGTAATTGCTAAGGGCCAGAGAATGAGCCTAAGCTTGAGGACATCCCCCGTGGGCTCCTGGACTGTGAGAGGGTAAAGG